ATTGCGACGAAGTTTACCCTTGGGCGGGTGGGATCATCTGCCGTCGCCATCCACCGTGCGGGCTGCGCGTAGCGAACAGTCAAAAATCACCTCCCCAAGAGCGAGAGCGCAGAGGATCGAGACAAGTTTGGATTTGGCACTTTGGCACCTGACGGCAAAGGGAAAATTGAACCACACGGAAAGTTTCTTCCTTCTAAAGCGACACGGCTCGTCGTTCATGCAGGTGATGAGTATGGTAGCAATCTCATTATTTTCGGAAATGTTTTTTTTTTCATGCGGAGTAGCAGTTTTTAGGCAGTTCCCAGCTAACGCGTTGGTTGCCGTTAGATCAGCTGCATGAATCTTGAAGCATAACTGCTTGCCACGCCATGTTTTACCTTCGCTCGCACTAGGAACTGGTCATTGCGAGCGTGCGAGACACAGGATGACAAGCCACCTTGTCCATCCCCGACTCACTTCTTCTTCCTCCTTTCTCGTTGTTCTCACACAGAGAGAAAGGCTAGCTGGCCTGGCGGCCCGTTTGCCGCCGCCGAGGATCTCCTCTGCTCCGCTGACGTTGACTCGCCTCATGACGCCACCGGTGAGCACCACCTCGCGCCGCACTTCCTCTCCCACTCCCTCCTCTATCTGCTCATCCTAACTGGCCCTCGTTCCGCGACGCCGAGTGCCATGACCACGCAGTCGAGCTCATGGGTTTTAAAATGCTCATGAACTTGGAAATCGTTCCCGGGTTTTAAAATGTTCATGATTTTCAAAAGATATTCATGAAATCGAAAAATGTTCCCATCTTTTATAAATATCAAAGAAAATGTTCAAAACTTTAAAAAATCCTTGATTTTAGCATAGATTTGAAAAATGTTCTTCATTCCAAACAATCTTTCGAATTACAGAAAATGTTTTAGAAAATCTTGAATTTAGAAAATATCCGTGAATTTGAAAATGGTTTTTCGAATATGAAAAAATGTTCCAAATTTCAAAAAATTCTTAATCATTTCAAAAGTGTTCCCACATTTCAATTATTTTTAAATTTACAAAATATTCATGAAACGAAAAAATAGAAATATAAAAAGAAAAGAAGAAAATAAACAAAACAACCAAATGGAAGAAAAAGGCAGAAAAAAAAATATAAATATCCGGTATGGGGCACGCTCCCCAAGATCGATTGGGAGGAAATCCGGGAATGTGCCAGCTCATATAGCAGGGCGTTCTCTTCATGGGTGCAAGTTTGCGGGTTATGCGTGAAATAGGATTCGCTTCTGCCATGCTAGGTTAAACCTCGCTTACTGCGAGACCTATGGTAGCCTGGCCTACAGAGTTGGGAATTGTGGGCTGGCCCGTTTTAGCTGTTGTAGTCAGCCGTCTACTTTTCTCTATTTCTTTCATTTTAGAATATATGATCTTTTTAATCTGCTCGGTGTTAGTGTACGTATATTTTATTATATGTCATGGACATTTTTTTAGAACTACATGACCATTTTTTCCATTGTATGGTCATTTTTTGTTTTCATTTTCCCAACTGCATGTTCAGTTTTTCAATACATGTTAAACATTTTTTTAGTACACACTGATCATTTTTATAATACACACTGATTTTTTAATATATGTTGATTTTTTTTAATGTGTGTTGACTGTTTTTAAACAATTTTTATATGGACGTTAACATTTTCTAAAAACACGCTAAACAAATTCAGATGCACGTTGAACATTTTTAAGTACATGTTGTATATTTTTTAAATGCACATCAATTTTTTTAAATACACGATGAACAATTTTTAAACACATGTTAAACATTTTTTCAAATAGACATTGAGCATTTTCGTAATGACACCATGAATTGTTTTTAAAAAACACAATGATTTTTTTAAGTACATGATGAACATTTATAATTCACCACAACTATTTCTAATACATAATAAATATTCTAGTACTACATGTTGAATGTTTTTTAATTTACATGATGAACACTTTCTTAATACGCAACGTGACAAAGAAGAAAATGGGGGGAAAGAATGAAAAACAGCAAAAGGAAAAGTTTGCACATTTTGCGTGTCTATGCTGCTTGTAGGGACAAGTTTGCATCTGATAGTCATGCCGAGCCTGTCCCATAGGCGGGAACAATGTAGGCGAGCGGGGTGTCCAACTCGCGACAAGCGATAAGTAGACATACTCTTCATTCCAGACACATAAATAGGAAACAAATGAATGGACCCTAGACGATGCTTGTCTAGTTTTGACTCCGTTGTCTCTTGTGTCATGGTCTCATGGGCATCCCGCCATCCAAGTCCAACTTAACCTAGCTTGGCATAGAAGTCCTTAATTACATTCCCTAAAAAAAACTTTTTTTATAACTTTCTGCTACTAGCAATGGTGTATATGCAATGCACACTGATATTAGGCACAATGTTAATTACACTTTGATATTTGGTATGATATGAATTGCATGTTGATATAAGGTAAAATATTAATTCCGTGATGATAATTGGCAGGATATTAATTGCATGACAAATTTCACGAGATGCCATTTAGTTAAAACATGTTTATAACATGCAGTAGTGATGGGTAATTAGAACATTAAAATACGTTTGGTGCTAAACATTGGAACGGTTTAGACCATCAGTCAGCATGTCTCGGTGGTTGAGATGGTTTTGATTCTACACCCTTTCTAAGGGCAAGCACTTTCTACATAGTTGGTCAGGCAACATGCAAGTCCACACACACACACACACACACACACACACACACACACAATTTCATGTTGATATTTGACATGATATTAATTACGCGGAAAACTGCATGAGATGACGTTGAGTATAAACATGTTTACAACCAGTGGCTGTTTGTCAGTAATTACATCACTGTAAACACGTTTACTGCTAAACATTGAAACGATTTAGACCATTAGCTCACCATGGTCCAGCGGCCAAGACGTTTTTTTGTTTCTCCATCCTTTATGCTTTGATAAGGGGTATAGAACTAGAAGCACTCTGTACATAGCTGGTCAGATAATATGCGAGTGCCACCGCACGCACGCGCACAAACTTTTTATGTTGCGTGTTTGCCCAGTGACACGGAAGCACAAGCTCCGATCAACTTGGACGCAACGGCCTTGGTCGACTTTTGGAAAATCACACCCTGAACTTGAGTAGTTAGAAAGGAATGGGTTGTTTTTTTTTTTTTTAAGAAGGAATGGGTTGTTGGTGCGAGGAGGAGAAGCGAAGCAAGGTGTGCACCGGAAGAAACAAAACGGTGGTTTAAATGGAATCTTTCCCCGCAAAAAAAAAATGGAATCTTTGTTGGGAACCGGAATCGCGGAACGCGAGAGGACGGCGGACGGGACGGGACGGAACGCGAGCTTGGGATCGACCAGGCACGTGGAAATAGTGCCGCGCTGTTCCTCATCCCGTCACTGTGACTGGGTTGAGCCCGTCGCCGTCGGAGACGCCCGCCCCCGCCCCGCCGCCACCTCCCCCGCCCCCGCCCCCGCCCCCGCCCCCGCCGCGCTTTATATAAAGCCAGCTTCCGTCCCCTGCGACGAAGCAACCCAACATCGGCGAGGCGACCAACCC